TAGAGGCCTACTTAGGCGTATCAACTTAAAAGTATTATGAGAAGTGAGTAAAAGTCAAGTCTACGTTCACATTCCTCAAAGAGATGGAGCAGTTGAACTAAAATACACACATTTCTAAAAACATATTTTATACTCAGATGTAAATTGATGTTAAAAGCTGTCACAGTACTAATGCCTATTAGTACAGTGGTATTTCTGATCGAAATTAATAGCGATAGTTTTCCCCTAACATTCGGGATAGTTCTCACTCTCTTAGCCCTCTGTGGTGAGTGGTGTTACATTCAGGTCATAATAACCACTGACTACTGTTGGATACAAGCAGTAGAGTACATTTCAAATATTTGTTGCTGAACCAGTAACCCCCTAGTTTGGTAAGCAATACCGAACTGTTCATCCCTCTCCGCAGCAAACTGTTAATGTTTCGAATTGCTCACCGGGGTATAGTGCACCACACTTCAGCAAGTCTCAACAATCCATACAGGAACAAATTTGATTTTTTTTTTTACCACATAATCCTATTCCAGGGGATCTGGAGTGCGTAACTTTGTCATCTTGAGAGCCTGCATGAAAACTAACACTTGGCGGAGCAGCCAAGCAACCAGTCAAGCGCTAGGTAGGCAGCTCTTGGCCTTCAAAGGGAAATTCCAGCCTAATGGGGTTTCAGAGTTTCCAGTGTATCCCTAGAACACGATTACCTGTGGAGTGTTAGCACACACACACACACACACACACACACACACACACACACACACACACACACACAAACACACACACACACACACACACACACACACACACACACACACACATCTTTCACACTCTCTTAACTTTGGAGTTTGTACTTCAGGTGGATGCACATGCTTTGGACAGTCAACAGTAAAGTGCGGGGGTAATGTGGAATGGGCATGACGTTCATTACAGGACTTTGATTTTAAACAAATATATAGGATAGCAAGGGAAGCACCCCGGCAAGCTATGGATTGACTCAAGAGCTGATGCATGGAAGTAAGAGAACAAGAAGAGCTGCACCAACAAAGGCGGAGGAATTGTGCAAAAAGGCATACTTTTGGATTTAAAGCACCTATCTCAGATCCCAGAGCCTTGAGAATGGGATTGGATTACTGTCGGTTAGATTTACTCCTGTGGCTCTTCACCACTACATCATCGTAGGGCCCCCTGCCTCCGGATCAATGGGGATATTTACTGCGCCTGTTTCAGGGAGACTTTCACAGTAGGCAGGGCATTAAACAAACAGCCGACAGCCCCGTCCCAATGATGGCCTGTCTGTTCACACTGTGCCATGCCCAAATGTCACACATATTCACTTCAAACAGGTAGCACAAACACGAGTGAAGTGCAGATAAAACAAAAATAAAATAAACAAAGCCAGGCAATTTGCTCGGTGTGCTGAACAAAGAGGAAAACATTGCAAGATAACAACATATATCCGAGAGAGACGGAAAGGCATGTTATGTTAACTTTTAGATAATTAGCCAGTAACACTCTAAAATTATTCTTGTTAAAATTCTCTTAAATTGACACACCTCAAATAATTCCTTGTCCGCGTTCCCCTGCTTGCTCATAAACACTCTGTTTTGGACAGTAAAATGAAATTGCTCTTCACATGTTAGACATTCCGCTGTAATGTATTGCTTAATGGAAAAAGAAATTACATAATGGCAGCAAGAAATGCGGATAACATGCTGGGGTTTTGTTATGGAAATAACAACCAACAACGGAGCCATATTAATAACCTCAAGTAACCCTACGTTGAGCTGGGAAGGTATCCTGATTCCATTCATTTAGGGTAAAGCAGCCCTTTGTACTGAGCACTTATACGAAGCTGCAGCAATTGTGTATTCAATTATATTATATGTTCGAGAATAATCACCAGTAAAATGTCAAACAACAGACTTTACATGCATATATATTTGCCGTCTGCAAAATAATTTGCTAAATGTGAACACATGAGTCCAAGAATGAGTGGAATGTATTTTGCCTCTACCCAAATACGAGCAAAGTAAATGCCTTCATAGAGAAAAACAGTCAGTATGAAATTTCTTCATTACTTGACAATTCCACTGACTAAGCCCGCGCTATCAGCTGACAGTGCAATGTCAAACAATGGGCTTACAAACGGCAGCGAGCATTACCGCATCAGCCCCGGAGAGCTCCCCAGGGCAGACTTAACTCCCGTTCGTCAACATGAAAAGTAATATGTGTGTAGAAGTCGAGAGAAAAATAACACAAAAATAAACACTTATGGCTCAGCGGTTGAGAGCTGATGTAAGCTGGACTTTGATGGACCTATCATCGCTGTAGTGGATAATGTTCCTGTTGACCCACTGGCTTGACAAATGGAGTTCATGCTTGCCCTGATAATTTATCTTTTTAACCAATACATGTTTTCATATCTTCAAGAGGCCCTATTATGCTTTTTTGGGTTGTTCCTTCTCTTTAGTGTGTTATATCGGTTTATGTGCATGTGAATACACACTTT